TGATATGTTGTGGGGTTGTTAACCAATGTCATAAAACAACATGTGTACTTCTGTTTCATGAGAAACTATTTGTTCTGTAAGCCTTCACCTGAAGTACAAAAAAAAAATTGAAAAAAAAAGAGTTCCAACAAACGTAACCATCTAAAAAAAAGGCACTTGTGATTCCTTCTACCTCCAACGGTCTTCCTCCCTAATATACACAATAGCTTACACACTCAGTCCTTCAGATTTTTACTCAAATGTCACTTTCTCAGTGAAATCTTCCCTGTCCACACTATTTAAAATTTCAACACTTTCTTCTCCCCTGTGCCCAATCACTTAACATTCCCTTAACTCTTTCCTTGCTTTATTTTTTTTCAAAGTACTTATCACCATCTAATACACTACAGATTTTACTTATTAGTACTAAATGTCTAGTATACGTTACCTAAAACTTTTCTCTTAGCATAACCTCATGGATGATGATTCCGGCTAAATTTTCAATCATCTGTATCCTTCTGTGCATAAAGAATTAGATGAAATGATACATTACGTGGAGCACGTTCATGAAGAGAGATAAACAAAAATTTGCAGGTATAACTGACCCAAAGTATACAGATTAAGCCTAACAAAATTATCTATAATTTTAATCTGAATCCATAGCTTACATACATAAATATTTTTTGTCTTTTTTTTTTCCCACTGCTTGTTCATAGTATCTAGAACAGTATCTGGTAAATTGAAGATGATCAATAAATATTTGTTGATACTGAGCTGCATTTGAATTATACTCACTCTATATACGTTAGGCTAAAAACACAGATTATTTTATGGACCAGGAGCCAAAACACATACCAATCTCAATCCAGTTCCACACTAAGCAAGATCCAGTAAAATAAGCCCAATTCACAAAGTAAAACATTAACACAAATTTCAGTAACTATGAGAGTTTAAGAATGTCATTTATCTGTTCTGTTTTAATATCAGTTTCTGTAAAAATGTAAATCAGGATATTAACTTTCTTTATAGTAAGGATTACTATAGGATTATTACTTTCTTTAAGGAGTTCTGGTGGTACAATGGTTAAGCACTCAGCTGCTAAACAAAAGGTTGCAGATTCGAACACACAGCTGCTCCACAGGAGAAAAAAAAACTAACAATCTGCTCCTGTACAGATTACAGCCTAGGAAACCCTATGGGGCAGTTCTACTCTGTCCTATAGAGTCACTAGGATTCAGAATTGACTCGATGGCACACAAACAACAATTACTTTCTTTGGAGAGAAACACGTTTATACTTGAATGGAAGTGATGAATATGCAAAAACACTAATTTCAACCATAAAAATATTTCAATTAGCAAAATATTTCTTCATTTAATCTTAAAATATATCAATTATCAATAAATTGATAATATCTTCAGATTTCATAACTTAATCTGGTTTACCAGTAAATAAGTCAAATTCAATTACAATTCAATGTTGGAAAAAAGAAACATTTGCATTTCTTGTTAACTCCATTTAACTCTCATCTCAACAGGAAGATAAAACAAAGCTGGGTAAATATTAAGTAGTTATAGATTACAGATATTCAAGGCAACAAAATGAACCAAGACGACAAAAATAGCTAACATGGTACACTGTCAGTCCTTTATATCCAAAGAGACTGAGATAGGAGTGCAAGACCAAAGAAGTTTGAGAAGTTAGAAAACAAACAAACAAAAAAATCCGTTTGACTTAAAGGATGATGGCATTCAAATTAATATTAAAATTAAGATATCAGAAAATCACTTTCTCTGCAGCCAGAACAAGATTTTCTAAATAGGCAGAAAAATGGCTTTTTTCCTTCTAAAAATAGCTATATAATTTAAAGCAACATATTTTATATGCTCTAATTTTAAAAACTACTACCTTACCTAAAATTGTCTTGGTATAAATTTATAGGTGCAAACTTCAGCAGAATTTTTGTGTAGTCTACAAATCTTAATTGGAGTAGGCAACAAATTTCAATGCTGATTTCACTTTAAATTTTCTCTAGCCAAGTTTCCTTTGGTAGAAAAACCTGTAGATTAAATGAAACAGGACAGATCAGTGATGATGACAACTGATCTGGACCAATAAAAGTGATTTAAAAAAAAAAAGATACCCAAGTAAAAAAATCAAGTGATGTTCAAGTTAAAAAAGAACAAAAATAGTTTCAAGATAAGACCAAACACACAGAAGAATGCAAACTTTCCAGGACTAAAATCACCATCTCTTCTATCACACAACACTTAAGAAGCACCACATTTGAACAAGGTAGAACCAATCAGCACTAACACTATGTGCAACTTCCAAGCTATATGCTGCCTATGACATAAAAGAAATATAACAGATGTCCCTGCTCTAAAGAATATAACCTAAATCAAGAGGGACTTAATACGTACCAGACATTAGAGAATCAAATGCTAAACTAAGGATAATGAGTGGAAGTGCAACAGGAGTTCAGAGAAGAAAAGAAGTGTGGTGTGAAGCAATCAATGACTACCAGATGGAGAAGACAGGACTTAAGAAAGGAGAGGAAGGAAAATTACTCGTCAGAGGCATTAGCAAAGTCAGAGAGATAGGAATGAATATGGCATGAGTAGGCAACAATGAGAAAACTGGGCTGAATGGAACAGAACAGACTCACTGAAGAACAAGAAACTTAGGTTGGGTAGGTAAGTAGAACACAGATTACAGAAATCCTTGAAAGTCAGAGAGACAAATTTGGACTTAAATATAGCAGCAACTAGGGAGTCATTAAATGCTTCTTTGTAGGTTATTTTTAATGACCATTACAAAAACTCAATTTTTCTCTTGGTAATCAATTCTTAATGTTCAATACCCTTCCATATTTGTATATGTGTCCATATGTAACTACAATTCTTCATGCTGCCGTGGAGCCCTTCTACTCTTTTCTTCCAATTCCTTCTTCATTTGATTTGACATTTAGTATAGTATGCCAGCACTGAGGCCCTCTCTCTTCACCTAACATTTATGTGTGTGTATCGATTTCAGAAGGTTAGCTAATTTTTTTGAATATTATATTGTGTTTTAGATGAAAGTTTACACATCAGATTCCCATTCAACGATTTATACACAAATTATTCTGTGACACTGGTTACAATCCCTGCAATGTGTCAGCACTCTCACCCTTTCCACCCCGCCTGCCTCATCCATCCAGTTTCTTGCATAGTTGATTGTTCAAAGGAGCATATACCTCATAGGTGTTATTTTTTTGTTTTGTTTTTATTATGTTTCAGGTAAAAATTTACAGTACAAATTAGTTTCTCATTATTTTGTGACATCAGTTGCAATCCCCGCAATGTGTCACACTCTACCCCTTTCCCTTTATGCCCTGGGTTCTCTGTGTTTATTCGTCCAGATTTTCTGTTCCTTCCCACCTTCTCATCTTTGCTTTTGGGAAGGTGTTGCCCACTTGGTCTCATGTACCTGACTGAACTAAGAAGTACGTTCCTCCCAAGTGTAATTATTCGTTTTATAGGCCTGTCTAATCTTTAGCTGAAAGGTGGACTTCAGAAGTGGCTTCAGTTCTGAGTTAGTAGGGTGTCTGGGGGCCAGAGTCTCGAGGGTTCCTTCAGTCTCTGTCAGACCAGAAGTCTGGTCTTTTTTTGTGAATTTGAATTTTGTTCTACATTTTTCTCCCACTCTGTCCAGAACCCTCTATTGTGATCCCTGTCAGAGCATTCGGTGGTGGTACCCCGACACCATCTAGGTCTTCTGGTCTCAGGCTGGTGGAGGCTGTGGTTCTTGCCGTCCATTAGTCCTTTGGACTGATATTTTCCTTGTGTCTTTGGTTTTCTTCATTCTCCTCTTCTCCGAACACGATGGGACCAATAGATGTGTTTTAGATGGCCACTCACAAGCTTTTAAGACCCCAGACGCTACGCACCAAAGTAGGCTGTAGAACATTTTCTTCATGAACTATGTTATGCTGATTGACCTAGATGTCCCGAGACCGTGGTCTTCAGCCCTCAGCCCCAGTAACTCGGTCCCTCAAGGTGTTTGGATGTGTCTAGGAAGCTTCTATAGCTTTGCCTTGGTCAAGTTGTGCTGACTTTCTCTATATTGTGTGTCATCTTTGTTGCTGTTTATTTTATAGGCCAATCTATTATTTGGGTGAAAGATGACCTCTGGGAGTGGCTTCAGTTCCAGGCTAAAAGGGTATCTTAGGGCGACAGTCTCGGGGGTTCCTCTAGTCTCTATCAGTCCAGTAAGTCTTGTCTTTTTCATGAATTTGAGTTTTGTTCTATATTTTTCTCCCATTCTAACTGGGACCTTCTATTGTGTCCCTGATCAGAATGGTAGGTAGTGGTAGCCCAGCACAAACTAGTTCTTCTGGACTTACTAGAAGAGGCTGTGGTTCATGTGAGCCATTAGTCCTGTGGACTAAAGAAGGTTAGCTAATTATTAAAAAGGCAAGATAATCTGCTCCCTTTTTAGCATGAAAAATGTCGTCGTCTGTCTTTTTTTTCTCTCTTTTTCGTTTGGGGGTAGTGATACTCATTCACTCATTTTCTAAACAGACCTTTACTGAGCACTATCCATCTACTCGCCAGAGAAAGATGTGGCAGTCTGTTTCTTTAAAGGTTACAGCCTTGGAAACCCTACGGGGCAGTTCTGCTTTGTCCTACAGAGTAACTATGAATCACAAAAGACTCGACAGCAGTGGGCTTTTTTTTTTTTAATCCATCTAATACGTACCATTCAAACCTATTTCCTTTCACAGAGTACAACCCTACTACCAAAAATGATTACAGGTAGCCCCATACTCCTTTATTTAAGATACTTCCCTCCTTTCCAAGCATTTCCAACACTTTGAGAAAGATCTAGCTCTCTTGTAAATGTCTGTAATATTTTTCCACAGATCCAGCTACTAAAAGTTTCCCTTTATACCTCTCCTCCCACATTTTCTCTTCAGTTTCAACTGATTTTTTAAAATAAAGGCATTAATTTTGCACATATTCACTCAATGAAAGTTTTTCAACTACTAACCTTTAAGTGTTTTTACCCAACATAAATCAAGTTTAAAAAGTAGTAACAACTGCACTTAAAAACAGAAAGTAACAGTCATGACAAAAAGACAATGATACACTACAAAGTTAACAAATGTAGGTAAATGAATTAATACTCCCCAGTTGAAGTCTTGAAACCCTAAACTAACATTCCCTCGTGCACATGCAAAGGTTCCACAAAGCAAAAATATTAACAATAATGACAATGGAAGTTAATTATAGGAGAGAAAGGGGAAAAACAAACAAACCTTAAATCCAATAACAAAAGACTAAAGGTATTTTGTGATGACCTATAGTCTGACGTGACAATTCTATGCCATTGAACCTTCTGAAAGGAACTGGTAAAAATAATCATTAAGTAAAAGTAGACTCCAAATACTTATTATTTAGAATTCTAGACACTTACCTTTTACCTATTATCACCACCTCTATCTTCCTTCTGAACTAAATTTCCAATTGCTCCTTACCCATTATCCATCTAAATTAAGTAAAAACAAATATGAGACAGCTAGTCACATAAACAGGAGGACATCCATAAATCAAAACCTTTTGATATTTTTTAACACATCAGGTTCATGTTGAATCTTCATAACTCATGATTTAAACCATGAGTAGTAATTATGTACAACTGTTAGCCCTTTTTCTTTCCTATCTTAATCTCTGAATTCTCAAATTGATCTCAACTGCATTTCCATAGCTTCAGGTGATAAAAGGAAAGTTCCTTAAGAGATCAGAACAAGTCTGAAAAACATCCCAAAAGCTCAAAACACATTAACTTCAGTATAAAAAACTGAGTGCCCCCCCCACCAAGAAAAATCTCTCAACTATTTCTATGTGACTTTGTTTTGAATCTAGGAAAATTACAGGCACTTACTTATTTCCAATTTGCAGCCTAACTACACTAAATTGAACTTTTTTCTAAGCCATATGTAAAAAGTTGCCAACATCATGTAACTAGTTTATAATCTAATGAAAACATAGACAACTTTTTTCAATGTTATATAGCTATTTAAATAGAAAAGTAAAAACCTGACTCTCCATTCCACTGACTTCTTCAGCCCCAGTCCCTACGCTTGATTGCCCTCCCCAGCCAACCTGATTTTAGTTTATTGCTCAGTCATTTCAACTGTTCTTACAAAATACCCCTGATTCTGTTAGCCCCTTCATTTTGCTATATGCAACCACCAACCCAAGACTAACCTGGCTGAGAATGGACTTAGGAATCACATAGATCTGGATTCAAATTCCATCAGAACAGAGTACCTTACTTCACCACGCCAAGACCATTTCCTTTTGGTAAAGTGAGAACTACATCACTTACCTGATATGAAGTGCCTGTACACATACATTGCATATGTAGTTCTGGTCTTCTGATGTGGTGAAATGAATTCCTTTATGTGGCCTCTTGCCTTAGTTCTTTGGAAAAACAGTTTGAAAGATTTTCCCCCTAAGCCCTGAGGAGTTATCTTTGCCCTAGTTTTCTTCCCTAGAGGGTTTGTTACTTTTGTCCAAGTTGATTGACATTTCCTGGGTAACTGCCAACAAGGATGGTCTGATACTTTTTGTCTGGCCCTGGGCTGCAGCCTACCCTGTGACTGGTATGCACCTTGCAGTGAATGGTCAATATACTTATGCAAATGAAGTTACTATAGCCTACTATGCAAATGAAGTGTCTGTAGCCTACTGAGAGGGGATTGGTCAGTTCATAGTCCTGGTAGGAGGGCATTGCCTTGAGATTGATGAGTAGTTTTGTATATACGCAGCCAACCCCACAGATGTTTTTCAGAAAGAAACAGAATGAAGAAGAGAGAAGCAGCAGAGAGCGAGAAGGCAAGGAACCTCCTGAAAGAGTTATAACATGGATCAAAGGCTATAACACTGAAGATGGTGACAGGCCCAAAAGGGGCACTGCAACAGAGCCAACGGCAGGGAGGCCGAAAGCAGAGAAGCCTGTCCTGAGGTGGCCAAGGGAAGGGTCTGTTTGCTTATATAGTGAGAGGCACTGAGAGAGCTGCCCTGCACTGAAGGGAGGGATGTGCTCTACTCTTCAGGGGAGCCTTCTCGACTTTGCCTTCATGCTTCTTGATCCTGATCCTGAGTTGTAGCCTGTTGATCCCAATCCCCCATTGTAACCCGCTGCTTCTTTAATAAACCACTTAACTGTAAGCGTGGTCTGTGAGTTTTGTGTGGCCATTAAACCAGATCATTGAACCCAGCAGAGAAGGAGAGAGTGCCATGAGAGGCACGGCTGGCATCAGAATTGGTTAAAAAGGCTGAAGAGTGGAGGTATGTCTGACCTCCTCCTCAGGAATCAGCCCTGTGCTGCTCTTGATTCTCATTATTCTCCCCTGAGGTCAGACAGGTTCTGATGCTACTACTATTATTACCCTCTCAACCAGCTTCACTACCTTCTTTGCCATTGTTAACCCATAGTGTTTACTATAAATTTTCTCTACATGTTTAAAATCCCAAGCCTTTCCTCAACCTCCTTCTTCCTTGTTCTCTCAAGAACTAACCTTGTTGCCTGTGTTCCTCAAATATGGCTATCATCGACCACTAGTATCCTATTAAAATTAATCACTATGTGAATACTGTTGTTGTTAGCTGCCATGGAGTTGGCCCTCAATTCATGGTAACCCCATGTCTGATGAAAGAAAATACTGCCTAGTCCTGCGCCATCCCCATGATTGATTGCAGATCAGACCATTGTGATCCAATATTAGACTAAATCCCGCAACAGGGACCATCCCCTCCTCAAGACCACTGAAGCACTTATTAGCTGAGCTACTCAACTGGAATTTAACATGTCTCATATTTCTTCATTTTTGCCAGCACAGTCATATGACCAGAGGAGGTTCTCAGTAAATATTTATAGAATAAATGAAAAATTTTTCAAAAAAAATTTGTAGAATTAATAGTCCCTGCAGGCAGAGACATATTTTAAATTATTTTATTGTACAAGTCTTTTTTTTCCCCCCCACATATTTTCTTTTATCTTGAGTAAAATATCTGGGAGCAGAAATGCTGAAACATTAGATTGGTTCTTGTTTAACTTTATAAGAAATTGTCAACTTATTCCAAAGTGGAAAACCAAAAACATATGAGAGTTTCAGCTACTTCACCTCCTTATCCACACTTGGTGTTGTCCGTCTTAATTTTAAGCAACTCCAGTGAGTGTGTGGAAACCCTGGTGGCGTAGTGGTTAAGAACTACGGCTGCTAACCAAAAGGTCGGCAGTTCAAATCCACCAGGCGCTCCCTGGAAACTCTATGGGGCAGTTCTACCCTGTCCTACAGGGTCACTGTGCATTGGAATTGACTCGACAGCAACGAGTTTGGTGTGTTTTTTTGTGTGTTTGTTTTACTGGGTTTGTAGTGGCATCTCACTGTGGTCTATCCAAGTCTTTTTTCCTACTTTTATTGAATTGTTTCTTAAAGTTATTATTTTGTACACTAAAATCCCGAGTTAATAAAATATTTTACATCTAAGGCCTACCTATATTTGAGTGAGGCCACATGAGGCATAATATAAAAGGTCTGTTGTACTGTGGTGGCTAGCATGCTGCTGTGATGCTGGAAGCTATGCCACCAGTGTTTCAAATACCAGCAAGGTCACCCATGGTGGACAGGTTTCAGTGGAGCTTCCAGACTAGGAAGGACCTGGTGGTCTACTTCTGAAAAAATTGGCCAGTGAAAACCTTACGGATAGCAGTGCAACACTGTCTGATACAGTGCAGAAAACGAGCCCCTCAGTCCTGCTTGGACTGGATTCCTGTGTAACTTTTAAGTCATTTAAACTCACCAAGCCTGTTTTCCTATTTGCAAAATGGTGAAAGCTAAGATTTCATAAAACAGTACATGCAAAAGGAACCGGCACAGGGTATGTACTCAATAAATGCTTAGTACAATGCTTAACACATAGTAAGTGCTACGTGAATATTAAATAAATAAGATGTGGCCCTTATCATTATTATCTTATTTTACTCAAAAAAAAACTGCCAGGTATTAGTATTAAGAGTTGATTTTATGCTAAATAAGTAGTGCAACTCCTCCTTTTCCTGTCAAAATGTTAAAATGACTAGTGTGATGCGCGAATTATGTACCTGAAACTATAATAATGAAATTTTTAAAAAATGGCTCTGGGACAGAAATCTGCCTCTTCCAGTCTTCTCTAAAGGAGTTCAACAATCAGGAGACCAGTGATTTCCAAGAGGAAAACAATGGTATTCTGAACATTCTGAACATAATCGAAAATGTCACACTGCTCAACATTTCCTTCCAGGGCGGGTCCCATTTCTCTCCTCTGCACTTTTAAGCTTTTGCCCCGCCTAGAACCTGAAGCTTCTTACTAGGCCCGATCCTCACCCCACGGACGCTCAATAAATCGTTACTGCAGGTGCAAAGAGAGACAATAAGATGAGGCAGGTTAGAAATCCTCTTCAGGGAAGGCATTCGAGAGGACCAAAGGTATCCATATCGCATCTAAGGCGATCCAGCCAGAGGCCCCACAAAGAACCGCCCCATCCAACTTAAGTGACAGACGCCCCGCCACCTCATCATCGCCCAGTCCACGCTCTTGCCTAACACTCTGCCACGCCTACCCGGCGCAAAACGAGCACAACTAACCCACAGATCCTTTCTCTCTCTAGCTACCATTTCAACTACCTAATAGAGCCAACTTCTGCAAAAGCAACAGAGACCCGAACCCACCTGGGATAGACGCTTGTCTCCTACAAACGCCAAACCAGGAGCCAGGCGCATGCGCGCTTCCTAGGCATCACTGACTAACTGGGAATTGCAGAGTTTGATTAGCTCGGTATTTGATTAAAAGGTCTTAACATGAGCTAAACTAGGGATTCCCCTTTTGCGCATATGCACGCTCTGAACCTGATGGGAGTTGTAGTTCTGCGGAAGAAGGGCTGACTTAGGAGGGAAACAAACTGGTCCCCGCTCTCTCCTCTCCTGGAGGGAATTCCGAGAGGGAGGAGGCGGAGCCAGCGGCCAGAGGCTGGGCTTTCAGGACCGCTGCCTGCGATGCTTTTGCTGTGGGTGTCAGTGGTCGCTGCTTTAGCGCTCGCTGCGCCTGCCCCCGGAGCAAGTGGGCAGAGAGGGCTAGCAGCTCGGGCCTTGCCCGAGTTGCCTAATGTGGTGCTGGTGGTGAGCGATTCCTTCGTAAGTACCGTGAGGCAGGGGAGGGGACGTCCCACACGGAACCAGCGACCGGCCCACAGCCTTTCCTGTGCTGCAGACTTTGGGGAACAGAATCAGAGACACTTTTAAACATGTTTTACCCCGATGCATTTTGAAGAATACATTTTACTTCGCATTTTGAAGAAAACATTTGACTTTGTGGCTGCGTATGCACACGCACACACACTACATACATATGCTTAACTAAAAGTTTCGGAAAGCATACTTTAGTAAATGAAATGCACTGTTAGGGTCTTTGCAAATCTTTTTTTTTTTTTTTTTTAATGCTGACATCAATCACTAAATTATTTTACCACTACTAGTGAACTTTCAATTCATACCCCTGTTTGATTCAGTTGTGGGCGAAAATAGCATTCGGCACGTCCACTTCCATAAATGCTTATTAGCTTCCCAGCAATCGTTTCCCAGTTCACCTCACGTTTGCAGGAATTAATATTTGGGTGAGAAGTGAAGAAAGCTAAATTTATTTTTATTACCCAGGTGTCTTGATAATCTTTATGGTGCTGATTTAAATGCTTTAGCTGATAGAATTTGATCCACTCCCCATATCCCAGAGAAATTGTGTGTGTGTTGTCCTCATCATTATTGTTTAAAAACAAACTTGAACAGTTTTTGGAACTTTCCCAAGGCATCAATTAAAAGAATACTGCTGTCTACTTTTACTTTAGTATTGTCCATGATTTAGAAACTTCTGCTTAGACAGATACTTGGTTTTAATTATAATAATAGCTTATTATCAATGAATGTTACTGTGGTCATTTAGATTGGTGGTGGTATGCATTTCTGGCACCAAAAAGTGTGCTTTTAATCACTGTGTTATATTGCCTCCCTCAGAAGTTAACCCATGATGATTAAAGTTATATAATCTGGATACGCCCATAGAATTTGTTGAGAATATTTCTTAAAGTAATCTTTACGATTTTCTAAATTTAGAGAACAGAGAACATTGGGGATTACCACAAAAGAGGTTTATTAGGAAGTGTTCTTGAGATCAAAAGAAGCAGAAGGAAGCAGGATTGTAGATCCTTCTCTTTCTTTAGGGTTCATATTTCCCAGAAAAGCCTTCCCTTTCCACCCCATCTAAAGTAGGTCTACTTTGTTTTCCTGCATCTCAGGTTTTCTTCAAAGCATTCATCACAATTTGTAATTAATAATGGATTATTTGCCGGTATAATTTTAGCCTCCCCAACTGGACTGTAAGCTTTATGGGGGCAGGGACTCTGGCTGTTTTATTCACCTTTATACCCCCAGATCTTGCACACTGCCTTGCACATAGTTAAGTACTCACTAAATGTTCAGTCAGTCCATCATCTCTCAAAAGAGCTTTCCAGGAAGTCCTTTAAGACATTTATTGTATTCAAATGAATCCTAGTGTAACACTGCATTGCATCCTAGCTATTTATGGACTAGATGGAAACCCTGGTGGCATAGTGGTTAAGTGCTACTGCTGCTAAGCAAAAGGTAGGCAGTTTGAATCCACCAGGCGCTCCTTGGAAACTCTGTGGGGCAGTTCTCCTCTGTCCTATAGGGTCGCTGTGGGTTGGAATTGACTCGACAGCACTGGGTGGGTTTTTTTTAACAGACTAGATGCTCATAACACTTGCTACACTTGTTTTTTTAATCTTTTGAGGATTCTTATGGTCATATTAAAGTCATTTGCTACTTATGTATTTTACAGTTAAAGGAAATAAACTTCTTCTGTAATGCAATCAATGTTATTTAAATTTCTTTGTTCTAGGATGGAAGACTCACATTTCATCCAGGAAGTCAGGTAGTGAAACTTCCTTTTATCAACTTCATGAAAGCTCGTGGCACTACCTTTCTCAATGCCTACACAAACTCTCCAATTTGTTGCCCATCACGAGCAGGTATGAACATGCTTAATATTAATGAAAAAAAGTGGCAACACATTGCAAATAAATTTACAATTAAAAAGATTGTACCAAAAAGTAGGATAGTAAGTCATACTGGGTATCTAATATGTTTGGGTTTTGGGTTTGTTTTTTTTTTAATATAAGAAATGTATATATTCAGGCACGTATTGGGCATTGGGATTATTAGAATTTCTAATTTAGTTTTCAAAAGTAGGAATTTTATTATCTAAAATGGTATCTAGTTCATGTATTAGTTTCATTTCCTTATAATTGATGACTAAGAGTCTTTTGACGATCTAAAAATGAGGAAACATTCTTATTTCCTAGAAGAGTTCTATTTCCAAAGAAGTTTTTCAGTAACAGCATAGGGAGGTGGGAGAACTTATATGGATTTCAGAGTACAGGTAGTCTCCAACTTATGATGGTGTTCCATTCTGACCATATAGGACAGGGTAGAACTGCCCCACAGGGCATATATCACTGTCTAAGTTTTTCCATATTATTTTAGATTACATTTTATCCATTTCTATTCAGTCTCAGTCCACTTCTACCCAAATCCAATTGTTCAATTTTATTATAGTAATTCAACAAATAGGCAGAACTTTAATAGTAAAATGTTAGTGACATTAAAAAATAAATAAATAAATCCGTTGCTTTCAACTGGAGGTACGAACCTACTAGCTGCTCAGCAGGAGAAAGATGCAGTAGTCTGTTTTCATAAAGATTACAGCCTTGGAAACGCTATGGGGGCAGTTCTACTCTGTCCTCTGTCATTAGGAGTCAGAATTGACTTGACGGCAGTGGGTTTTGTTTTGTTTTGTTTTTACTATGGTCCTGGCAATATTCTAAGTGCTTTACATGTACTGATTTATATATGCGTCATTGTTATCCCCATTTTGAAGATAAAAATTAAAGTACAGAAAGGGCAAAACACTTATCTAAGGCCACACAGTAACTGGCATTGTTAGGATTCAAAGCCAGGTAATCCACCCCAGAGCCTGAGTTTTTAAGCACTGTGCTAGTCCACCTCCCAAAGAGAAAGCATTTTGTTTGATGAGAACAGAAAACTTATTCAAACATACTATTTGTATAAGGAATGCACAGAAATGGGAAAAGGAAAAGAAGGGTGCATTGAATTAACAATTGGTTGTAGCCAATTTAAGAGAGAATACATAGTATACTTAAATTTTTAATGAAAGCCAGTAAATGGACAAGGAATAGGGAAAATCCATAAGGATATTGGGGAAATAACATCTATACTGCTATACCTTCAATTGACTGATTTGGAAATTTACTCAAATACTTAGGGATTATTTTGGGGATGGAATGAAAGCTCTAAAGTCAGATAGGAAACAAACACAACAACAACAAAAACAGTAGCTGTCAGGTCCGAATCAACTCATGGCAACCCAAGGTGAGTCAGAGTAGAACTGTGCTCATAGGGTTTTCAATGGCTGATTTTTCAGAAGTAAATTGCCAGACCTTTCTTCTGAGGCACCTCTGGTTAGACTGAAATCTTCATCCTTTCGGCTAGCAGCAAGTATGTTAACCATTCGCACCCCCCAGGGACTCCGAAGTCACACAGGCTTACATTTAATTCCAACTGTATTTACCTTCAGCAAGTTAAACTCTAAGCCTTAGTTGACTCATCTGTAAAATGGAAATAACTCCTTTCAGGCTTTATCCCCTGATAAAATGAGATAACAATCAGGATTGTTGCTTAAAGCACCTAATGCTGGTATTTCTTATTCTAGAGCATGAGCTCTAAATTTGTAGATTCTACTCCCTCTTGGTGATTGAATTAATAATTAAAATAAGTTGTTAAGCCTTACTTTAACCCCTATTTCATTATTATTTTTCAGCAATGTGGAGTGGCCTCTTCATTCACTTAACAGAATCTTGGAATAATTTTAAGGGTCTAGATCCAAATTATACAACATGGATGGATGTCATGGAGAAGCATGGCTACCAAACACAAAAATTTGGAAAACTGGATTATACTTCAGGACACCACTCTGTTAGGTAAAAAATAAAACAAAGCAAAAAGAATACTAATAGGCTGCCTTCTGCTACAGCACATACATGTACTCTTTTTTACTTTTCTTTTTCTGTCTCTATAAGGTGAAAGTAAATCTCTTAATCCTTTGATTATGTTAATCTGGCTAAACTTTAGCTTTCTTTAATCTTCTTAAAATATTAAAATTGCTAATATGCTGGTCATTTTTTTTAAATATTAAAGGACTCTAAGTAGTGTCTATAAAGTTGTTGAGCTCATGACTTATTTTGATTGATTTTTCATTATACAATGGCTAGTTTATTACTTATTTTATAATCTGCTTTAAAAACTATAATATTTTTGCTGCTTGCCTTTCATAGTTCTCTTCAACATGAGTCTATTTTAGCTTCCCCTACTTTTTCTAAGTCCTCAAAAAATAGGCATCCAAGCCTAGAAGTTGAGAGTAGAGGTCTAGAATCAGATTGTTCTACCACTACTAACCTTGTCTAGTATAATCTTGGGCACATTATCTAAGCTAACTAACTGAACTTTAATTTCCTTGATGTGATGATTAGATGAAATAATATATGCAGAAAAGTGCTAACATAACAGGCCTAAGACCACTTCAAGGTTGGTTCTTGGATGACATCTGGAAATTTGGATTTTGGGGGTTATCCCAACATTTCCTAACTGGTAAGAATGACTTACTGTTCCTAGACTGTTTGTACAGTGTTTATACTGAACACTTCCTTCTGGGAGTCTGGAATTTTGCTGCTTGCTAGATAGTGCCTATGTGAGTAGCCCCCAATAAAAACCTTGGATACCGTGTTTCTAATGAGCTTCCTCAGTAGACAACACTTTACACGTGCTGTCACAATTCAGTCCTGGAGGAATTAAACAGTCCTGTGTGACTCCACTGGGAGAGGACTCTTAGAAGCTTGCACCTGGTTTATTCCAGACTTTGCCCAAGCGCAAGGAGAATTTTACATTAGCTAAAATATATGTACAGGCAGTCCCTGAGTTACAAACGTCCAATTTATGGACAACTTGTACTTGCCCTTTAATGTTATATAAATTTGTCCTCACTTTGAAATGACTGAATCAACCCCTACTCACAAAAAATTCTTCATCACAATCACTTTCACTTGCTGTACATGCAGCTTTTAAATCATTGAAAAGGCTTTGAGACTTGTCTGGCACTAAAGTAAGGCTAGATAAGAACCGTATGCACCTGTTCTAACTTACCTACAAATTCAACTTGAAGACACACTTAAGAACGGATCTCGTTCATAACCCGGGGACTGCCTATACAAACAGTTGCAGCATATTTTCATTTACCCACCCTGTCACCAGAGCTTAGGAAATTGAAATAAGCTATCAGGACTATGTGTATGAGTACTGTGTGTACCCATAGAACCATCTGGCTGACTGATAGCTCAAGGTTGCTGTTAGTAGCATCTCTGAAAAACCTATATGAATTATTACTCATTATCTTTCAGATTTTTCTGTGCAAGTTTAAAGGGAGGAAAAGGGGTTTCTCTTAATATGAAGCTTCATAAATGAGGGCCTTCAGTGTTGTCGATAGACTGACTCTCAAAATAAAAATTGAAGTGTTTATAACTCTGTTACCTTTATAACTGAAATTGGCTGTATTTGGAACAGCTTATATTTTCAGCCAGAATTACAAGTTTCTTTAGCTTATCACTACAATACTTATATCCCTCTCTTTTAGGTGTCAAGTGATACTTTCTTCTAGTGCTCGATCAGGGAGGCTAATTCAGCTACGTGTCCCTTACTCTATAATATACTCTACCACACTGGGAACGCTAAGGGCTACATACTTGTTTCTTCCAAACAGTTGTTAAACAGCTATTGGTGGTACTACTCATGAACATGCCACTTACTGGTGATAAGACCTTGGACAAGTTTTTTTGTTTTGTTTTGTTTTTTTAATTGTGCTTTAAGTGAAAGTTTACAATCCAAGTTAGTTTCTCATACAGAAATTTATACACACATTGTTACGTGACCCTAGTTGCTCTCCCTGTACTGTGACAGCACACTCCTCCTTTCCACCCGGTATTTCCCATATCCATTCAACCAGCTCCTGATCCTCTCTGCCTTCTCATCTCGCCTCCGGGTAGGAGATGCCCATTTAGTCTCATGTATCGTTTTTCTGTCCCACAGTCCAGTTGAATCATTGTCTGAAGAGTTGGCCTTGGGAATGGCTTTAGTTTTGGACTAACAGTTTGGGGGCCATGTATTCCAGGGTCCCTCCAGTCTCAGTCAAACCATTAAGTCTGGTCTTTTTACAAGAATTTGAGTTCTGCACACCACTTTTCTCCTGCTCCGTCAGGGACTCTCTGTTCTGTTCCTTGTCAAGGCAATCATTGGTGGTAGCTACGCACCATCTAGTTCTTCTGGTCTCAGGCTGATGAATTCTCTGGTCTATGTGGCCCTTTCTGTCTCTTGGGCTAATATTTTCCTTGTGTCTTTGGTGTTCTTCATTCTCTTTTGCTCCAGGTGGGTTGGGGACCAATTGATACATCTTAGACGGCCGCTCGCTAGCTTTTAAGACCCCAGATGCCGCTCACCAAAGTGGGATGCAAAACATTTTCTTAATAAACTGTTATGCCAATTGACTTAGATGTTGCCTGAAACCATGGTCCCCAGACCCCCAGTCCTGCTACTCTGACCCTCGAAGTGTTTGGTTGCATTTACGAAACTTGTTAGCTTTGGTTTAGTCCAGTTGTGTTGACTTCCCCTGTAGTGTATGTTGTCCTTCCCTTCACCTAAGATAATTCTTGTCTGCTTTCTAGCTAGTAAATACCCCTCTCCCTCCCTCTCTACCCTTGTAACCATTAAAGAATGTTTTCCTCTGTGTTTAAACCTTTTCTTGAGTTCTTATAATAGTGGTCTTACACAATATTTGTCCTTTTGCAACTGACTAAATTCATTCAGCATAATGCCTTCCAGATTCCTCCATGTTATAAGATGTTTCACAGATTCATCATTATTTTTTATTGTTGCGTAGTATTCCATTGTGTGAACATACCATAATTTGTTTATCCATTCATCTGTTGAGGGGCACCTAGGTCATTTCCATCTTTTGCTATGGTAAACAGTGCTGCAGTGAACATGGGTGTGCATATATCTATTCGTGTGATGGCTCTTATTTCTCTAGGATATATTCCAAGGAGCAGAATTGCTGGATCATATGGTACTTCTATTTCTAGCTTTTTAAGGAAGCACTGAATCGATTTCCAAAGTGGTTGTACCATTTTACATTCCCACCAACAGTGTGTAAGTGTTCCAGTCTCTCTACAACCTCTCCAACATTTATTATTTTGTGTGTTTTGGATTAATGCTAACCTCATTGGGGTGAGATAGTATCTCATTGTAGTTTTGATTTGCATTCCTCTAGTGGCTAATGATCGTGAGCATTTCTTCATGTGTCTGTTAGCCACGTGAATGTCTTCTTTGGCGAAGTGCCTGTTTATATCCTTTGCCCATTTTTTAATTGGGTTATTTGTCTTTTTGTTGTTGAGGTTTTGTAGTATCTTGTAGATTTTAGAGATTAGATGCTGATTGGATTTTGTCATAGCCAAAATTTTTTTCCCAGTCTGTATGTTGTCTTTTGACTCTTTTGGTGAAGTCTTTTGATGAGCATAAGTGTTTGATCTTTAGGGGTCCCCAGTTATCTAGTTTCTCTTCTGGTATTTGTACATTGTTACTTATGGTTCATATTCTGTTTATGCCATGTATTAGGGCTCCTAGCATTGTCCCTATTTTTCTTCCATAATCTTTGTCGTTTTAGATTTTATATTTTGGTCTTTGATCCATTTTGAGTTAGTTTTTGTGCATGGTGTGAGGTATAGGTCTTGTTTCAGTTTTTTGCAGATGGATATCCAGTTATGCCAACATCAGTTGTTAAAGAGACTGTCTTTTCCCCAATTAGCAGACTTTGGGCCTTTGTCAAATATCAGCTGCTCATAGGTGGATGAATTATGTCTGATTCTCAATTCTGCTCCATTGGTGTATATATCTGTTGTTGGACCAGTACCTGTCTGTTTTGACTACCGTGGTGGTATAATAGGTTCTAAAATCTGGTAATGTGAGGCCTCCCACTTTGTTCTTCTTGAGTAATGCTTTACTTATTCGGGGCCTCTTCCTTTTCCATATGAAGTTGGTGATTTGTTTCTTCATCTCATTAAAAAATGCCGTTGGACTGATCTGACCTGGATCACAACAGAGGGTACTGGACAGAGCTGGAGAAGGATGTAGAACAAAATTCTAACACACAAAAAAAGACCCGATTTACTAGCCTGACAGAGACTGGAAAACCCTGAGAGTATGGCCCCGGACACCCTTTTAGCCCAGTGGTGAAGTCACTCCTGAGGTTCACCATTCAGCCAGGGATTGGACAGCACCATGAAACAAAATGCGACTAATGAGGCGCAGCAGTCCAGGGACAAGGACTAGAAGGCAGGAGGGGACAGGAAAGCTGGTGTTAGGGAACTCAAGGTTGACAAAGGACAGTGTTGACATGTCGTGGGGTTGTTAGCCATTGTCATAGGGCAATATGTGTACTGACTTCAATGACAAACTATTCTGTTTTGTAAACCTTCATTTAAAGTACAAAAAAAAAAAAGAATTATCTATGTGAGATGAGATTGACAACAGCAACTCAAAAGGTTCAATAGGAAGCCTAGGGGACAGTGAGTTGAAGATAATGGTGATGGAATAATTTGGAAGAGGATAGTGAGAATAGCAGCACAACTGGAAAAACGCAGTCAATGTCACTGAATTGTACACGTAGAAGTTTTTGAAATGGTGTTTCTTTGGCTATGTATATTTTCACCAAAAAAGAAAAAAGATCCTCCAAGGTCGAGAAGGGAGAGTGTTGACATGTTGTGGGTTTGTTAACCAATGCCATAAAACAATATGCATACTGACAGTGTAATGAGAAACTATTTGTTCTGTAAACCTTCACCTAAAGTACAATTACAAAAAAAAAGAATTAAAAAGC